GCACTCAACTGATTCCGTGCTCGGATGGAATTCCCAGGGGTCATGCTACTGCTTTGAGGCTCCCTCCCATTCTCCTTTCCTCCTCCCCAGGGCATGCTTGGGGTCTCTAGGAGCCCTCAAGGGACAGCCCTTGCCAGAGCTAGGAAACACCTGGGGAGTAGAAAGTATATTTCCCCCCAGGCTTCACAGCACCCTCCTGGCAGGCATGGCTTCTTCCCCACCCCCCTGCCCAAGCAGTCCTGCACCAGCCCATTCAAGCACACCCATGCCAACAAGCACACTGGAGCTGGGCCGGCTGCCAGTCAGGCAGGCTGACATCACAGACAGGCATAGCCAGACTCGGAAACAGCCGGGTACAGTGGGGCCTGCAGAGCCACCTGTTCGCCTGGGACCAGCCAGGGCAGGGCTGATCCCTGCTGGGAGCAGGCAGCTGGCAGACACCGGATTCCCAAGAAAGCTCCTGAATGCCATGCACCTTGGTCTGCCCAGTCTCCCCTGCAGCAAGGGACACTCAGCCCTTGCCCTCCTCTCTCCTGGCCCCAGTGACCTTTGAGTCTCCGTAGAGCAGGCTCACCAGCCCACCCACCAGACTGGTTTCAGGGGATGCTGATTCTGCTCACACAACAGTGTCTAGTCCAGGACCCTCCGGCACCCAAAAGGGCTTGCAGACCACCTCCCCTGACTGCCTGCCTTTCTCCCCCTCCGCAATGTGTACCTTACTCCTCTCCCACTGTTATGCAGTAGAAGAGACATACCCAGGCTCAGACAAAACCCTCCTGGAAACACAGGGCATAAAAGGGACCTGTTTTGGTTGAACTGGAAGTGGGTGGGCCGGAACTCCCAGCTTTGCCCTCATCAACACTTATCTCCCACTCCCCACCCTCACAGTGGTCCCTGCACTCAGCAGTGCAGCTGAGTGGTCAGGATCATGGACTCCAGCCCGATGGCCTGAGTTTGAAGCCTGGCCATTTAATATCTGGGTAACCTTAGGCAAGTTACATAACTGTGCCTCCATTTCTTCATCTGTAAAATAGGGCTCTTGAGAGTACCTCCCTCCTGTGATTGCTGTGAAGAATTAATGAATTAAGCAGGTGAAGCACTAAGAGCAGGGCCTGCACATGCTAATTGTTTAAGAGATGTTAGAGAAAGTAAATTAATCTTTAAAAAGTCAGTCTGAAGACTGCTTGTGCCATGGCAAAGAACCCAGGGTTTCCAGGAAGTGGGCCTGAGTCTGTCTTGGCTTTATCAGTGAACCTCTGCTCCCTGGGCCTCAGATGCTCCACATCTGAGCACTCTCTTCCCCTGAAGATGGCAGACAAAATTCAAATACCCAAGCCCTGTGGAGCAGGGCATGCATGCTTGGTCCTGGTGTGCTCAGTGACTGTGTGTGCCTCACCCTTTCCCTCATGGTGCAGAAATCTAAGATCTCCACCTTCGAGAAGATGTGGGCCTTCATGAGCAGCAAGCCCTCGGCACTGGTGAAGAACAATGAGGAGGGTATCCAGAGGACTCTGACAGCTGACTATGCGCTGCTCATGGAGTCCACCACCATTGAGTATATCACCCAGAGGAACTGCAACCTCACCCAGATCGGGGGCCTCATTGACTCCAAGGGCTACGGCATTGGCACGCCCATGGGTGAGCAAGGGGCTACTGGGGGAGGGGGACGGAGTGTGGACAGAGGATGGTCTCCGCTCCCCACATCCACTCAAGCTCCCTCTCTCTCCCAGCTGATGCCATTGAGCCAGAAGCAGGGGGTAAAGCCCCATGCCTTGGGAGGGTAATGGAGGGATGGAGCTTTATGCCTTGGGAGGGCAGTGGAGGGATGCAGTCCCATGCCTTGGGAGGGTAATGAAGGAATGGAGCCTCATGCCTTGGGAGGGCAGTGGAGGAATGGAGCCCCATGCCTTGGGAGGATAATGGAAGGATGGCATCTCACGCCTTGGGAGGACAGTGGGGGCTTGGAGTCCTGATCCTTGAGGAGACGATAGAGGGATGGAGCCCCACGCTTTGGGAGGGCAGTAGAGGGATGGAGCCCCATACCTTGGGAGGGCAGTGGAGGAATGATGCCCCATGCCTTGGGAGGGCAGTTGTTGCCTGGGCAAGGAGAACTGGGATGGACATGAGGGACAAGTCAATTCCCAGAGGTCAGACCTGCCTCCCTTCACTCCATGGCTGCTGATGCAACCCAGCTACACTGGGCCTTCCAGGGGCCCATTGTGACCGATGCCTATAGGACAAGGCCCCCCTGCCTAAACCAGAACACTTCCACCCACCCAGATGCTATATGTAAACTTGAAGAAGAGCTTCACCATGATAGGGTCCCCCTTTTGATGAGCTGACCGAGAGGGCTAGTGATGGTGACTGGCACTGGCTAGGGTGTTGGCAGGGGCCTATGTACAATGGGCCCCACGCTGCTGACAAGGGCCCTTCTCCCTACTCAGGCTCCCCATACAGGGACAAGATCACCATCGCCATCCTGCAGCTGCAAGAGGAGGACAAGCTGCACATCATGAAGGAGAAGTGGTGGCGGGGCAGCGGGTGTCCCGAGGAGGAGAACAAGGAGGCCAGCGCCCTGGGGATCCAGAAGATCGGGGGCATCTTCATTGTCCTGGCCGCTGGGCTGGTCCTGTCCGTGCTGGTGGCCGTGGGCGAGTTTGTGTACAAGCTCCGCAAAACAGCAGAGAGAGAGCAGGTATGCCCAGAGCTGGGCCTGTGCAGGATCGGGGGCAACTGGCGGAAGGTGACGCATGCTGGCTCCACCCTCACGTGCCCAACACCCCGCAGTGTCTCATCTCCCCTTCACCACAGCCCACCCTGCACCCAGTCGACCAGCAAGCCTTGCCGGCTCTGCCTCTGTCCCGCCAAGTAGGGTCTCCCAGGCTGCTGCTGCACCCCAGGCCAAGCCCATCCCCTCCTGCCTAGGTTCTGCACAGCCTCCAGACTGTCCTTCCTGCCTTCATGTTTCCCTCGCTGCCATTCACAATCCACACAGCAGCCAGTGCCTTGCTTAAAACTTAATTCAAACCATATCGCTTCCCTGCATACAAGCCTCCAGAGTAATTGTTGAAGGTGGGTGATGGTTGCATAGGGGGTCATTATACTGTTCTCTCTACTTGTGCATATATTCGGAAATTTCCATAATCAAAAGTTGAAAAAGGAAAGTGACGAGGGTCAGCCCAGGCATACACACAGTAGAACTAGGCTCAAGTCATCTGATTAATTCAAGCGTGGTTGGGCAGTGGTTCTGGGTCCCAGTAGCAAATTAGAATCACAGAGAGCAAGATTTTAAGTGCTAATGCCCTGGCCTCACTCCCAGAGACTCTCTGTTTTAATTGGTCTGTGGAGGAGCCTGGCATTGTTCTTTTAAGAGAGCCTGCAGGGTGATTTAAGTGTGTACCTGAGTGGAGGTCTCTGGGCTGGGGAAGCACATCTCATGGAGAAGCTCAAGGGGGCTGCAGTTAAATTATGTGTAGAGGGGACCATTGCAAACAAACAGCTTATATAGCCATCAAAAATGAAATAGAGTGCTTGCTACCCAGCAAGCCTAAGTCAGCAAAGAGGTGTCAGAGGTCTCAGGGTCTAGGGGAAGGGACACTGTCCAGTATCGCTGACAAGAGTCTACGTAGTTATATTTCTGGAAAGTAGCGTCACAGTATGTTCAAAGTCTCCCAAGGGATCCATACATTTTGACCAGTCAGCTTCTACTTTTGGAAGTGTACCCTGTGGAAGAGGTCAAAAATACAAGAGGGGAACCCATAAAAAAAAGAATTATTTTTTGGAGGGCAGGTCCCTTGCAGTACAGGCTTCCCCTCTAGGTAAGTGTCCTAGGAACACATCGACATTAGTGTACCAGCTCATGTTGTTTTGAGAAGCTGCATTCAGCTTTAGCGAATTTCTTTTTGGAGATTACTTTCAATGCATTTGCCCATTTCATGATGGGTGATTTGTGAGTGCACCTGCCCTCACTGTGCTGCATGCTCAGCAGTTTTTGACCAAATACAACATGATCCCTATGCCCTACCTCCCTTTTCACCCCATCTCGCCCCTAGCGACTTTTTTTTTTTTTGTTTCCCTGGATGAAAAACGACATCAGAGGGAACGTTTTTGCTGATGTGGAAGAGGTGAAACAAAAAATGGCAGAAGCACTAGAAGGCATCAAAACTGATGAGTTCCAAAACTGTTTTGAGCAGTGGAAAAAGCATCTCTAGAGGTGTATTGCCTCAAACCGAGAGTACTTTGAAGGTGACTGAAGTTTAAACATGTAAGAATAAATACACAATTTTTTATAAATACATTCCAGGTCTTTTTGGGTCCCCCTTGTATGTGCAGTTTTATTTACATGGAAATTTGTTGGACTGTTCATTATAATGTGAAAAAATGAGGACTAAAAACCTAAGTGTCCAACAATAGGAAGAAGTTAAAAAATATATGCTAATCAAAAAAGAACAACCACCGAATTCTGTGGGAATTTTCATTACAGTTGGAATGAGCGCCAAATGCCACCCAGCCTGTGGGATCCAGTCCTTACCCACTTCTCTGACTTCCTCCTGCTACCGCTCCCTACCCTACTCTACTCCACACACACTGACCTTTTTTTCCCCAGCTTTAACATACCGAGCACATGTCTGCCTCAGGGCCTTTGCACAAGCTACTCCTGGACCAGTCCTAGAAGCCTGTGTCCTTGGCATCTTCTGGCCATTCAGGTTTCAGCTCAAATGTCACCTCAAGTAGACTTCCTTACCTGTCCCCATTTCCAGCCCCTTCCTAACCCATTTCACTGGTTTATTCTCTCAATAATAGCTATCATTCTCTGAAACTACTTATGTGTTGACATGTTTATTATCTGTTTCCATGCCATTGTTAGACTGCGAGCACCCTGAGGCCTGGGACTTTGTCTTCTTCACTGTTGTGTGCATAACACCCAGAATAGTCCTGGCACATAGCAGGGTCTCATTAAGTAAGAAAGGGAGGTGAAGAAGTGTGGGCCCAGAGAGGCCACAGCTGGTAAGAGGCAGAGCCAGAATTCACAGCCAGGTCCCCATTCCCCTATACCCCATGGCCTGCATACAAGTGACCCTGATGCTGATGCCCGGCCTCCTTGGGTAAGTTGAGGCATTGGCAACTGCCACTCTAGAAGGTACTGCCACCCGATACCTATGGACAGTGCTGCATTCTTGCTGTCCCTCTTGGCTACCTGCAGGGACCCAGGCCAGAAGGAGGTTGCTGCCACCCAGCAACCCTACAGGGACCTGCCTCCCAGTTACCTACCTTGAGAAATGTGTGCTGGGCTTTCCTGAGTGAGAGGGTGGTAATTCTTCCCCTTTATTAGGTCTAGGAGAAGAATTATCCATAAACTCATCAAGTGTTTCTTGAGTCTTGACTCTGGCGGGGGCTTAGGTGTAGCGGAAGAAACTGATTGGTCCCTACCCTCGGAGTCTAGTGGAGAAACAATCAGACAGGAGAGCCAGAACTCCTCAAACTATAATGTGCATGCCGATCAGAGGCTCAGTCTGCTCATCTGTAAAATGAGGATGGGATGATGATACCTGCCCTACATACATTAGTCTCAAAACAAGAATGAGGGACTTTGTAGACTGCTACACAGACCAATCCACCCTGCAGGGGGCCAGAGGGATGGGTGGGGTGAAGGTGTGAGAAAGGGAGCCCTAGCGCAGGCTCTAGGGGGAATAGAGCTTTTGGTATCGCAAGATCAGACCTCACCGTGTGCCCCTTTTTCTCCCCCCATCCACCCTCCCCTAGCGCTCCTTCTGCAGCACTGTGGCCGACGAGATCCGTTTCTCCCTCACCTGCCAGCGTCGCATCAAGCACAAGCCGCAGCCTCCCATGATGGTCAAGACCGACGCCGTCATCAACATGCACACGTTCAATGACCGCCGGCTTCCGGGCAAGGACAGCATGGCCTGCAGCACGTCATTAGCCCCCGTATTTCCCTAGGCACAGCTGGGGTGGGGACCGCAGGCCTGGGGGCTGGGCAGAGGAAAGCAACGGAATCTGGAAGAAACGTCCCCTGTCCCCATGTAGGCTTGGGGACCAGAGCTGCTGCCTGCCTATCTGGCCAGGAGTCCTCTGTCCTTACCTGCCAGGAACCAGCAGGCCTTGGGCCAGATGCTGGGGCTTCATTCTTCTCTTATTTCTTCTATGGGTTTCTAAAGCTGCCAGTCGAGATAGCCAAGGCCAAAAGAAGCACATGCCTCTCTCAGGCCAAACTCACCTGCCCCCAATACTCTTGGAGAGTCAGAAGTTTCTGCCCGGGCCCTGCAGGGGCCACAGAAAATGAGAGGCAGCTCTTAAATTGCCATTCCTTACCCAAGAGCCCATGCCTCCTAGGGCTTGACCATGAGGCCAGAGACACAAGCCTTCGGCGCCTTAAGGATTTGATAGCATGGCTGCCAGTGGGAGTTAATGGTGAGGGACAGCTGCCCCGTATGCCTGGGCAGAAAGAAGACTTCATCTCCCAGGGGCTGTTCACATGGTCCTGGTCTTCCGGACTTGACACCACCCTGACAGTTCCTGTCTTGGCAGAGTTGAAGACAGAGAGCCATGCGAGGGGTAAAGAGGAGTTTGGGGTATGAGAGAGAAGAGAATGCACAAATAGAGGCCACCATTTTGAATTCTAATGGAAAGTGTTCCAGTGGCTCCCACTCTTCCAGGAATATAAGGGAGTGTTCACAGATCACTCTTCTCCACTTTCTGGCCAGAGGATAGAGGACCCCCAAGTCTCTCACAAAGGATGCCTGGAGACTCAGCAGATGTTTGAAACCCAGCAGAGGAAGAGCAGATTCCATGGAAAGCCCACAGGCCCGTGAGCCAATGGATCTTACTTTGTGGCTAGCAAGCTATTTTCTAAACCTTCTTGGTATTTGGGACCTGGGCCCTTTGCCATCTTCTCATCAGCAATCCCCCATTCTTGGCCAGTTAATCTTGGCCTTCCTGTCATCTCAAAAGGAGGAAAGTCAATTGAAGTGAAAGTCAAATCTCCCTCTTCAAAAGAGGAGTCAGTGTCCTACTATACAGGCTAACTTTGGGGTCAGTGGGAAAAGCCAGAGGAACCCTAAGAACTCATGACCTGGACTTGGCAAACCTAAAGATGCTCCCCAGAAAAGGGAAGATTCCAGGTAGGGAGAGAGAAGCTGCTGCCTGGAGAATTAACCAAAGACCCTACACAGAGATGCAAGGCCTCGCTGGCCCCTTGTCTCTTGTCCAAAGCGGCTGTGACCTTGTGGGGCTTGGGGAAGACAGCAGAGAAGTAGCAGCAGATAGGGTGCCAGCCAGGGGGTGGACCAGATGATCTCTGGACTGAAGTTCGCTGTGATGGATGCTCTAAAGGGCTGTGACTAAGAGTGAGACATGAAGGGTTAGGAGCAAAGTGTCCTTAAAGAGAACACGGTGGGGCCAGCAGACCTGCCATGGCCAAGGAGGGGACAGTCTAGAGCAGGGGAGGAGGGGCTGGAGATGCTGGACAGGGAAGGAGGGACACCACCCACTCCCCTCCCACCTCTGTCCTGTGTCTGCTTAGGGAGCCTGGTGAGGGAAGCACTGCACATGGATGTCAAGGGTCTTCTCAGCGAGGGTGAAGGACAATGTCCAGCAAAGCAAGAGACCACAGTGGGCGCACATGGTAAATATTGACCCTCCTCCTGTCCACGAGCCTCAGAGCCACATCGACTGGGTCCCAGAGCCACAGTGGCTCTGATGGCAGTGGATCTTGGAGGAGGAAGAAGAGGGCTGGACTACAGCATGGCCCCTTGTGTGGAACCATAGGAAAAGTTATGCTGTCATGAGCTTTGGGGTGAGGAGTTGTATGCGTGTCTGTCTTTGTATGTATGAGCTTCGGGGGCTGGGGCAAAGGGCAGATATGGACATAAAACATAGTCTAGGACATGCAATAATAGCTGAATCCTTTGAGATCTGATGTGTGCATGTGTGTAAGTATGAATGAGTGAACTAGGGACAAGGGAAACAAATATGAAAGAGCCACAGGGCCCATCTCTGTAAAAACAGGAGAAGCCATGTTGTAATGGGGTTCTGGTGAGAGTGTGTATGTATGCATACTGGTGTGTGTGTGTGTGTGTGTGTGTGTGTGTGTGTGTGTGTGTGTGTACAAATTTATACACTGAATGGCAGAGGATGGGGGACAGGATAAAACCTGCAACTAGCCAAATACATGTAAAAGGAGAAGCCATGTCACCAAAGGGTCTGTGTGCGCATGTGAACACGTGTGTGCAGGCATGTGTGCACAGTGGAGAGCAGGAGGAGGCCGGGCCCAGTCATGTGACATGGGTCAATCCATACTGCAGATGAGAAGCCATGTGGAGTTGAAGTTTGTGAGTGTGGGGGGGCACAGACGTGTTCCAGCTCACAGTAGTAGCAGAGACAATCAGTCAGGAAGGCAGGGCACCAGGGTCTATTTGCACTTCTGTCATGGGGAGATCATTTGCTGCCAAGATGTGCCAAGGTCGCATGGACGTGCACACTAGGAGACAGACCAGCCAAGTGGAGATGCAGCCTGTCAGGGGCCCATGTCTGCTGCTGCCTTCGCTGTGGGCAGCATGTCCTATTGGAAGGGAAAACCTTTTTTGCAATTACCAGGTAACAGGATTCTAATGAAGGTATTTGCCAGTTTGCTCTCAGCAAACACAGTCATTGACCACTGTCTTACTCTGGGACAATTTCATAGCACACGGCTCATTCATGCCCATGTTGCACACCTATGCTTGTGTGCATGATGCTATGTGAGTGTGTCATGCTCTTCTGAGGCTATGCACATGTGTGGATTGTGATGGGAGGCAGAGGAAGTGGTAAACTTTTGTATAAAAGGAGTAAAGAATAGTGGGTGGACAGGCACAATCCAATTAGAGAAACCCCTGGAGGTGCCACATGGTCTTCAGGCTCCCAAATGGAAGTGGACGGTTCCCTGTGATCTTTCCATTCCAGCCTTACGTCCTTGGGGTGGCTCACATTCAGCCTCTGGCTGACATCCTGAATGTGTCCTAGAGACCAGCCCAGTGTTCAAAGTACAGAGGAGACCGTGTCTGCCCAAGTATGAGCCATGTCTCTCCCGGGGGGCCAAAGGTGACACTGCATCTGTGAGGTGGGAGGGGGCAGGGAGATATTCCTAGTGAGGAGGATCATGTGCCATTAAAGTCTAGGCCTGCCCTGCCAGTGGGTGTGAAGCTGAGCTGGGGTAGGTACATGCATGTACACATGTGTGTGCACTCATGCAGACCCTGAGGAGTGGTGGGAAGCATGAGAACTGGTTTGGATGGAGCAGAAGGTGGGATCTGGGCTATCACCTGCCAGACCTGAGTGGGATCTGGGCTGTCACCTACCAGACCTGAGCAGAATGCCCCCACCTCACCCCCCAAATACCAGTGTGTCTCTCCAGCTGCTCAAACTGGCCACGTTGAAAGCAGCAGTGAGAAGACTCAGACTCTGCCCCCGCCCCCCCCAGGCCCTAGGGCATTTGAACAATGAGCCCTCCTGATCTCTCTATCCATGAACTGCTGCTGCTTTCTCTGCCCTGGACAGAGAAGAAAGCCCTGAGTGCTTTGTCAGTGTTCAGGTGGCCCTGTCTACAAGTGTCTCTCAAGAGGGGAGATGCCCCTTGGCCGATGTGCTGAACTCTGCCTCTCCGAAGGGTGAGAGGGCCGCCTCTTCCTCACAGCCAAGACCCTGCCTCAGCTGGACACACACACCTGGCTCCCCCCTGCCCATGCCTCAGGCACTGGAATATGGAAATCCTGGCCCAGGCTGGGACAAGAGGCCACATGGGTCAGAAGTTGCACCCACGCACCAAGAACAGTCAGAAGTTCCCTCCCTGCCTTCTTTTCAAGGGGTTTAAGTGGGGGTGCAGCTGCTGCCTCATCTCTTAGCATGAAGTTGAGCCCTCCCTGAGCCACTCCCAGCTACATGCACAAACATCTGAAAACAGGCCGACCTCTGTGGCCCACATCTGGAATGGTCCCATGTGGACACCCATCTGCGAAGGACCCAGAGGTTTGGACAAACAACCGTATAGACTTAGCATCTGGGACAGGCCCAGTCCCTTGGACAGTTGCAAGAAATGGGCCTAGCTTTGTGGCAGGTCTGGATCAGACACATCTCAAAGTCCTAGGATGGTTGGACACATCTGGAGTGGGCCCAGCCACTTGCAACAGTGGAAGGACCCTGACCTGTCCCATGCCAGTTTGAATCAAGCCCTCCTTCCAGTCCTGGATTTGCCCTGGAGTTACAATTTCAGAGCTGAATCATATGTGAAGTCACAGAACTGTTTTAGGTAGAAGGTTAATGTTCTGTACAATATATATATGAATGTAAAAATATATATATATATTGTATATATATATATATATATGCACAGTGTAAATATGACCTGTAGCCCATGTGTATACAACCCTTCCCCGCACGTCTGCACACAGAGTGTACATAACCCAGCCAGCACTGGTGGGGACTGGGTGAGAGATGGGGGGCTGGGGCAATAAAGCCTGGGTGGACCTTGCACAGAACCCCTTGGGGTGGGGAAGGCCCTGCACACATCAGAGCTTCAGACGGAGAGCAACCGGCCACTGGGTGGGCCTTGCACCCCAGGGCCTCCTGTGGGAGGGGCAAGAGCCTTGTCTCCATCTGTGCCTGTCTGAGGTGGGACAGCTGGGCATGTCTAGGAAGCAGTATTGTGCTAGAACTTGGCCCCTGTGCCAGTATTACATTCTAGTCCCAGTGCAGTTAAAAGGGAGGAGAAGGACTGAGAAAAAGGAAACCTCTCTTTCCTGCTGTCATACCTGGCCGCAGAGTCCCCAGGTAGGTAAGTACCAGGCTCTACCTATAGTATTCTAGAAGGCAGAGGGTCCACAGCACACAGCTATGGAAGCACTGTTGAAGAGAAAGGCTGAGGGATTGCCAGCATGCCCGTACTGTGTTCCGATTCCTGCCTTCTAGAACAGTTGACCTCAGATCCCCCATGGTTTGCTTCTGTGTTATGGATCAAAACCCTGAGACCTCCAGAGATGGGAAAGTAGCCATAGACCAAGTCAGGCAGCAGCCAAGAGTTTTCCCCACCTCAGACAACTTCCCAGCCCCATTTGACCTGGACACCAGCTGTGAAAGAGTGGCTGTGAAGCCAGAGAGATGAGAGGTGGGAAGTGAGAAGGCAGGTCCTGTCCTAGCCACAGCCCGATGCCGTCTGTCTGCCTTTCTCCCCCGGCGGCGTCCTCCCCAGCAGGGCAGTCGGCAAAGAGCTCCCTCTCTGGCAGGCTGCAGGCCTCAGCCCCTCTTGCCCACATCTGCCTGTTCTCTGCACTTGCAGTCCTTCGCACCCTCTCATGGGTCTGAGTGTCTCTGGAGCATGCAGGGGAGAGATCTGGATGGACTCCCTAGTGGTCAGCAGCCTGCCCCTGGCTTTGGCCCAGATGACAGGTTGGTCTGCACTGAACTCTGGGTCTGCCCCTGGGGCCCTGGCCAAGCACTTCTGAATCCAGCCCCCTGAGTCCTGCCTGACTCCACGATGTGATCAGAGCCCCTGGGGACCGTCATGCCACTGTGTGTCAAGCCCCCAGCCCACCTCTGCCTGGGCTGGCTTCCTGGCTGGGCCCCCATGATGGGGACCTCGGTTCCCAGTCCCTGGGCTGAGCCCCCAGGCAGCACCATGGGCCTCAGAGCCCTGGCCTGTCCCAACACCCAGACCAGAGTGCCTGGACGCCCCCCACTCCCACTCAACATGGTTCCCACACACTGGTCTCTGGGCCATTCAGGGGATGCCCTTTGTGGACATGCAGAATTTCTATGAATATAGTTTTTTGTAAACATTTTGTAACAATTTGGGTTTCATAGTAACTGTGTTACTTGCCAATCATTCTAGGCTGATGTAAATAAATTTCCAAACAAATCCGATTATTTTCCTTTTTAAGACACTGTGATATATCAAAGTGCACAGTTTGCTGTATGAAGTAATATGGTTTTAAATTTTAAATAAAGAAATGTTTCTAGAAAACAGGGCCCCCTTGAGGTATGTTTTCTGTTTCTCTTCTCTCAGAACCAGGGGATACTGGGCAGGATAGTTTTTCTGTCTTCTCCAGGAATGGCTGTGTCCCAAACAGGAGACTCTGGTGCCCAGCTGGTGGTGGCTTCAACCAGGCTCCTGGTTCAGACATCAAGAGTGTAGGGTCTGTCCTTGAGACTCTCTGACCTCTTGTCTTCCCCTATCCTGGGCATGTCCCTACCCAACTAATCTCCACACACTCCCTTGGGAGTTGCCACATCCTTACATTGGCTTGTCCCTTTGATCGCTGTTGCTGAGGTCGGATGGATACTTTATTCAAGCCTGGCCAGTCAGAGATCTTGCCTGAGTTTGTTCAAACATGAGAAA